AGGTAATCCGCTTTTATGACTGCTGCGGGTCTACCTTTTTACAATAGCGTTATTTACGTCGAAAAACCCACGGGTTAAGTGGTCAATGTTTGGCGCGTGCTCAATTACTTTTTGATAATTGAAACTCTGCACCCTCATCATTGTCTTCGTCTTAATTTTTCGTTTTATTTAAAAAAAAATTCGAAACAAATCTATCAACTCCTTCGTTTTTTTATTTTTTTCTCTCCTGTTAACATGAAAGAGAAATTTTCTCAGAGAATGATGTTGGGAAACCGTTCGTCTCCCACCACTACATGACAGAACTTGAGCTCCGCCCTACGCTCAGAAACGTCTCTGAATCTCGACCATTCTGCCATCTGACAGCAACAACACGTATCAAAATTTCCGGCCACATCGTCCCATAAGGAATAAACTTCTATTTACGTCTCTCTTCTCTGATAAAAGCTTCTGTGAACCCAACACATGATGGCGCTGCTCCGAATTATTTGAGCGTCGCCTCTCAATCTAAGAAAGAGGAAAGACAAGATTTGTGTTCTCCTTTACTCCTTTACTCTCCTAAATAAAAGATTACCCCACCAAGTTATATCAATATTCTCTTTCTGTGTAAGTACACTATACGCTTTTTCATTTTTATTGCTACTTTTGGGTCTTTGCTGCTGTTCTTTTGCCCTTGGGTTTTTTAGTTGCAGATAAACGCATGCTATTTTTTGCGGTCTATCAAGCTACATAATAATTTTCAAGTGGAATTGCTTAGTAACTGCATAATTTGTGATTTACGTTGGGGATCTGGCAGGTCGACGCTCGTTAGGTCTATCTGCTGACTTTTTCGTCACTCTATTTTGCGCACTCATCTGTGGCGCTGTCATTCGTGACGAATATTCTCGACACTCACTATTTTCACGCCAGGCCCTGTAGACGAAGCAGAGATCCTTATAACCGATAACTTGACTAAAAGGTAGATTTCTTTTCTTTTTGTACGGCTGTACTTCTCTATGATGAAGCTGGAAAAGTCAACATGGAATCAGATGAGTTCGGAAGCGTTGTTACTATCAGAATTACAAACGCCAAGAAGACCTAATCCTAAACTCAATCTTTTGAACATCATTGAAGCCATTAATTAAGTCAGTGCATCTATTTCTGAGCATAGTGCAGTACTTGAAATGTTACCTGATTTCATGGCCAATGTAGAAGCTAGCTGCAAGGATGTTGAGAATTTCAAGCGTAAAAATACTAAACTCAGATTTGTGCTGGGGCAACTAACATCACGTGTCCATGAACTTGAATCACGTGGAATATCTGCTGCCTCTTGTCATACTCCTTCTTTGTCCTCCTCTGCCTCAGCCCTAGCTGTAGCTATACAGGCAAATACTACCTGTCTTCAGCATCTTATTAGACAGCAGGTTACGAATACAGAATTGTGTCAGGCTTTCCTGACAGTGACTCGCTCACCAATCTTTAACCTCTGGTAAGGACAGTGTTTGATGCTCTCAAGCTACCTGACCCTCTGACATGATCGTAAAATCCAGGTTCATGCGAAGAGTGCCGGCTGGATCTGCTTTCCCTGACATTGCTGCTGCTTCTACTTCATCACTGTCCTCATCTTCTTCGTCTGCAGTGCTTTCCTCAGTTTCTACTACTACTCCTACTGATGCTATCAAAAGGACAGTCGACTGTTTCTATAGTTATGAAATGTGCAGATGCTCACTCTGCACAGTTGGCTATTACCACCCAGCGTAGGCGTTGGAATTATTTTAACTTTATAACTCAAGGAGATTAGGCGAAAGTCATGTTTCCATGATTCATGACTGTGGACCTGAGAATGCCAGGATCAAATCTTGCCAAAAACAGGATTTTTTTGAACAAAGTTTCTAATAAATTTTATTTTAGATGTATTTAAACAAAAAATTTGTTAAGACAAAAAATCTCCTGAGCGAATTAAAATTTTATTTTGTTAAAACTGATTTTCTTAATGATAATACGATCCTATAATATCATTCAATACGTTTACCCTCAAGTTAATAAGAAATTTTGACAAGGATAAAATCGCGTTAAATAACGTCTAATCCTATTGCAAAGTTGAAAAAGATTCGCTTTTATTTGATAGGTAATTCTGACATTATAAAACTCTTAGTAAAATGTCATTAATGCCGTTAAAAGTCCAGTAGAATTTCGGGTTATCCAACTGAAAATTTTAGTATTTTGGCAATTCCCATCAAAAAATCGAAAAGGATTTCTTCTCGTTCAATGGGATATTGTGACAATCTTATAATCCTGTTAAATTACATGCATGCCCATAGAAAAAGTTTGCTACGAAACGTATGTAATGAGAAGGATTATACAGAAAAGATTATAATTGAGTACAAGAAATTGTACAGGGATTCCAAAAAAACTATTTGCAGGCAAAAAAATGTACGTGTCATTGAATTGTTGGTTATAAATAATTTTTTCCCCCTAGAACCAACACATTTTTATTAATAACTTCTTCATTATGCAGAAATCGACGATACTTCATAAGACATTTTTGGAAAATGTGGAATTTTTTGGAAATGGAAAAAAACATCTTAATTATTTTTCATTTATCATGTCAATTTGTCAGGATTACAGAAAAATTCTTTCCAATCGATCTCAAAACTATTTCTTAATATAAGACCGATACATTCAATCGTATAGTATTCTGCATTATCTTATAGCGAATTTTGAGTCAATAATATTCCTATTGAATTCCATCAAACCCTACTGGGAATGTGTACCTCAATAGGATACCTGAATAAAATGCAGGTGATTTCTATAGGAAAAAAAACCTTCAATAGAATTCAACGGGAAATTTCCGATACGATTTTTCGATTGAACTTCCTTTTCCAATTAGGATTGTTTAAATAGGGTTCATACATGAATGAACGACAAAACTTATTGCCAGACCTCAACTTATTTGTCACTCATTAATTAAATAAATTTCAAAAAATCTCACTACATGATCAAAGTATTTCTAAGTAAGTTGTACGGAATCTGGATATTTCAAATTTCAATCATTATATTCTAGATGGCAACTAAGAAACAAACTAACTGTTGTGACACGTGGAGGCCGACCAGTGCCGTACCACCTGATCCCCAAGTTCTTAACTCTGGAAAGATGGGCCGTAAATTATTATTTATACAAATTCTAAATTTTTGTTTCTATTTTGGGCACCAAGCCCCTCTCTCGGTCCTAGAATACCCCTGCCAGTGCAAGAGCGATGCGCCGCAACACCTCGCGCACCCCATGTGTCACTACCACCTGCCAATTAAGAATATGGGGAGGCAGGAGAATTGGGATCCAAAGGATCTCAGGGATTGCGTGTTAAGATCTTGAAGAGACAAGATCGATCGAAGCTTTGGTTTTTCAAGTAATTGTGTGACCAAGAAGGTCGAAGATCAACTCAAGTTCACTAAGGCCATCGGCACCTACTTGGAACCGCTGGAAACCAGAGACCAGGCCACCGTAAGGACAAGCCGAGGACGTTGAGAAGGAGGACTTCCTGTCATAAGAATCCACACCTTCGTAAGTCTAGCTTCTTTCTTGGTGGAGATCATAAGGAGCGTCGCTCGTGGCGTGAACTGTGGGCCTGCATTGTAACTACAGATAGTATTCAAGAATGCGCAATCGCAATTCATCCGGACTTGGGTAGTAGAGCTAGGGGCCATCGATTCATTATTACTTCGAGTTGTATTACCATAGAGTCAATGTTCGGTTTATATCGAGTCATTAAATTTGAGAATATTTGTACAAGATAAGTATTCAAGACCAGATAACCGGGGTACAACATATTGAATAATAATAGTAATTATACCTCAGAACTGGGTTCTCCTTCTTTGGATTGAACAATCTAAAGTCCCTAAACCTGCACCAGTTATACTCGAGGAGTCCCTGAACTGATGTGGAAGATTATTCTTTCATTTTTATTTAGCCTTTACTAGTGCTACAAGAACTTGCCGATCTTCGCTGTCCCCCTCAGCCCCCCTCGTCTGCCAGACGCTAAATTACAACAGATTAGTTCCACGAATCTACTTCGAGGTCATCACAACAGGAAGGCGTCATCGCCTGTGAAAAAAGTGATTTAGATCTGTCCAAACGCGATTCAAATGAGTATTAATATAATTCTGGGTTAAGTCTTTGACAATAAAGCTTTGGCACGTTTTTTTTTGGTTTCGTGTCTTCACAAAAATTCAAATTTACCTTTGAAGTCCGTAAAATTTATTGATAAATAAATAAAACTAGTGCTGCCCTCTTTGCCTAATGTGATTTAGTCGATTTTTAAGAGTATTCCATATTCGTTGTCACGATTGTTTGTTGGTTAATTTAGTACCAACAGACACAGAAATAAAAACTGATACTAGCAAAACTTTGTATCAAACTACCCGAGTAAAATCCTTGCTTCCCCCGTCCGAAGGAAGGAAATTGAGTACCTCGCCTACTAGGGCATAACTCTGGGAAATTATAACTCTACTCTCTTTGCGATGGCGTTTCCCAGGACGCGTATACCTGCGTCTTGAAACAGGCACAGGGATACACGTAACAAGCCCGAGGCCTTACGACATACCACTATGAGTCCGACCTAAATTGGCCAGTTGTACCTAGTCCTACATGTCATATTTTGACTTTGCAGCCGCAGGCACAGGGCTTGGAATTTGGCGTGTTACGCGACATATCTTAAAGGACACAAACATCTATGTAAACCCGGGGGGCCAAAACTACCCGAGTAAAAAAAAAACATGATCAATTTTTTGGCGCGCCCAAATGATTTTTCAGGCTCTCAACGCTGTAGCTACACTACGAGACATAAATGCTGTCCAATTTTTTGAAGGTTATACATCCGATTTCCTATACTCTCTTATACCAAATTCAGAGAGCATTTATGTCGCATAGTGTATTTACATTCAGTTCAATTGACTGAAATTTTATACTATAAGATTCAACTAAGTTAATTGTATTTTGTTAAGGCTGCATGAAAATTTGTAACTACCTGATGTTGTAGCGATTGTGAATCCTTTTTCATTGGAATTTGTGCAAAGAGGCCGAAGGCAATTTTGTCTTTTTTAAATGGTTCATAATCTGATAATAATATTTCCAATCGATCAGAAATAGTTTTAGCTTTGTCAGGTAATGTTATTTTTACACCTTTCGTAGTCCATACATTCAATGTAGTATGTTTTAGAATCTTATCGCTCCCATTCTGAATAATTAATTCGACATCTTGCATTAGTCCAGCAAAAAGATTTTTGCTATTTAAAGTAATAACTGGATGAGTTTTTGTAATATTATATACTAATTCTGGATCAAGTGACTGTAATTGATACTCTAATACGTTAAAAAGAACTATTGATATCCCATTAATTTTATAAAGTCCAGAATGGTTCACTTTTTCACTTATTACAAAATCATTCAGGCCTGGCTTGAGAATCAAATTTTTAGAAATATGAACTTTTTCAGATATTGTTCTATCATCAGATATTTTTTGGTTATCTTTGAATCGGCTATGAAAAGTTGTTGATTGTTTTATTCTTTTGTTGATAATTCCAACAGACCTTATGGATTTATCTTCTTGATGATTGAGATATGAAACTACTTCTGAATCATTTTCTTTCAAATTAGGACTATAAATGTGGTTGAAGGACGCTTCACAGGATCTGGAACAATAAACATCATTAGATTCGAAGAATGTATATAATTTTGTAATTTTTAACAAATGTCCAATAGAAATGGATCAGATCTAATCGAAATTCAGAGTAAGAATTGTGAATCGGCAGAATTCTGATTTTTTATGGCCATAAAATTTAACAGGATCAATGTAGTTTAGATCGTAGAAGAAACGTGTAAGAGAAAGAGGAGTTATGTTAAACAAATACAAGGACACAATTAAGAGCAAAAATATAGAACTGCTGCGATATATAACTGATATTATAATCCTAGATGAATTTTATCATTCTTATTGAAAAACAGAAGAAAATTCAGCGTACTTTTATCAGATCATAGAACAGGATTTGATCAAATTTTATAGGGAAAACAGCTCCAAAAGAAATAAATAGGAAATTGCCGATTAAATTTTATATCCCAACAGAATTATGTGAAAAGGGGAAATAATATTAATACTAACTTTGTTTAAGAGATCGGCATAAATTATCGATGATTATGGATTTTCTGTTTTAGTTGACACTTTTTACCGGTTTAAGTTGATAAATGTGTATCTTTTATTTAAACACACTTACAAGAAAACGTATTCCGACGTGTCATCTCCGATTATTTTGCGGCTAAGTTATTGTTATTTTGGAAGGTGTTCAATTCTAAGAGTCAGTATTTTTCTAAGAGACCAAATGAATATTAATCCACGTGGAAAATGATCAAAAATGCATATTCGTACATATTCAAAAGATGCAATCGATTTATATTAACCTTTCGTTGGTTCAGCTATGAGGGAATCGCTATTAATTTTTGTATTTTGAAATAGAAAATGAAGTTAGCATAAGTAAAGCTAGAGGTTCAAGCTATTCTCCAATAGAACTATGTAAAATTTATTACAGCTGTTGAAATTATTTTATGATTGACAATTATGAAATAATTAGATTTCAATATTGAAAAAAGTAAGATAGGAAAAAGTTATTTGCGACGTTGCTATACGTTTAGTGCGATGGAAGGCGTTTTGATCGCGTACAATAGTTGTGTTTGTATACATAGATCAGTCTATTTGAATATGTAGTAGTAGAAAGTAGACGTAAAGTAGAGATAAATAATGAGTAAAACATTTATAATTGCTGTTACTAATATTGGAAGGTAAGCCATTTTGAATTTATACCTACAAATAGAAATTCTGGGTCCCAAAGGTAAATTAAAAATATAAAAATACATGAAATTTTCATGCTTCAGATTAAGATTAAACAAGATGGAAAACGATCTGTCTTATTAGTTACAAGGGATTCCCGATTACTTTTCTGTTGAAATTGACGATATTTCTGATAGTAAACATTTCAATTATGAGAAAGATGACGATGATAACGAGTGACATGATGATAACATAAATAATAATGTGCGCAGTTATTATATTGGGAGAGACCGATCCACCTACATCCTCTAGGTGTTAAAAATACCTCCTTCACCGTCAAAAACTACAAAGAAAAATATCATCTCTCATCTACCTGGTGTCAAAGGTACTGCAAAAAATTGTGATACATCACTTAATTATTGAGAATTTTTTTATTCCCTGAATATTATTGAAGATATAATGAAACATATGGTTTTTTGAAGATAGCACATGTTAGTATTTAACATCTTTGGTCTAGAGATGGTTTAGGTCCCGATTAATTTTGAGCAGTAATGCTATATAATCGTTCGACATAACTATTACGAGCATTAAGATTCGACGACAGTAAAACAAGAAAAATACGTGTTGAACGATACAAATTAGCTCTAATACGAGACTTTCGAAAACACTTTAATGAAATGTCATAACAACAGTACATACCAAGCGAATATGTAACAATTGATGAGATAATGTCGGCTTTTGAGAGCTGTTGTAGCATCAAACAAGATATTACTAGCGAACCTGATAAGTATGATTCACAATTGTTGGATTCAGCTGACGCACGATCTTTATATGTACTGAAATCGGAGGTGTACCTCGGAAAAAAACATGAAGGTCCTTATCAAATAAATAATAAGCCAACAGATGCCTTAAAACGGATTGCTACACATGGCTGAACCGATTTTACTAAAAACTTCATCAGTTATAAGTTGCGTAATTGCCTTTCGAATGCAATTAATCCCACGCCGATATCATTTTTTGTTCTTGAGATAATTGAGGCGAAAAGAAATTCCGAATGCGCATACGAACATAAAAACATACTCATATACAGACGCCCGCTCAAAAACTATTGTCTTCAACTCTAAGGACCTCAAAACATGGATATATATCAAGATTCGGGAAGCGCAAAATCGGACCATTTACAACAACTTTCCGTTATAAAGTTAATAAAGTTAGAAAAATAATGTCATTCACTGTAACGGACAATTATTGAATATCAAGCGTTTAAGTTGATAATATTATTTATATTCAGAATTTAAAAAAGAAAATCGTGTCAATGTGGTGTAAAGGTTTCAATACATGAAACATACGCTTGATCTTAGAGACTGTAATTTTTTCTTTTTAATCCTAGCTTTTCGACCAATAGATAAAGGGTGAGAGGATCTTCGCTAGAGAAAGTAAGAATGTGTGATTTGTATAAAAACAATAATAAAATTTATTAAATGGAAATTATTGAAAAATTTTAATATAAATTATTAAATATATAAAAAAAATATTAATTAAAAATAATTTGACGATCGAATAAACTTCAATGAAAAATTTTACAAACTTGGAAATATTAGCAATACAAGAGATTGCAAGCGATGTTCTACAACGAGCTGATCTCGATCTTACTTCTTCGACTACTGACCGATGTATCAAATCTTACGTATTTATTTAGTGGAACGTGACATAATTAATAGTCCCTTGCTTCGAACGCGCATAGTTCCCTTTCTTTTTAGAAAAATCTGATGCTCTGCTTACGGCACGCGCACTCTTTCTTTCAATTTTATTGTTACTCATTTTTAACTCCTAAACTATTTTTTTCATAACAGCCTGTAATTATTATAAACAAATGGAAAAAGTCCATAAGTGTTGGATTTAAGATTTCTTAATGGAATTTGTTTGATATAGACCAAGTAAGGTATCTGAAGACTCTGTGACTACTGTCGTCACTATATTTTCTTTATAGCAGCGTCTAATCGTTATAAATAATTGAAACATGTCATTAGATGCCTTGTTATAACCATATTAAGAGAAGTAGGTAAAAAGTTAATAATTAACTGAAAAAATTTATTTGTATTTAACGTTTTTTTTCTAGTTAAATACCTAAAATTTAGTTTAATTATTCTACCAATATTTAACCAGTTTTTAACTAATATTTAGCCGTGTTATCTGTCAAGATTCATAAAAATGGTTTAAGTTATTTAACCGGAATTAGACCATTTATTCCACAGACCGGTTTCATAGAAACCGCGAGGAGTAAAACTCTTTATCGTACTCCAAGTTGAAAAATAGAGAAATTGAGATACCTATATAGCTATTATCGCAAAGAACAATATGTCACAAATATTTTATTAGAATAATTCTCTAAAGAATTTGAATCCTTAATAAAAAATTAAAAATTGTTTGTATCGATTTTGAATAAAAAAAAAAAATAACAATGATGTTATAGACTTACGATTTGGGTAATGAATCCAGTAAAAGTTTTTTCCCTTCATACCTCGAATTTTCGATAACTTCATGAACAAACATTACTACACGAGCTTCCTTTATCGTATAAGGTAATCGGCATTCTACTACCACATATATTTCAACTGTACAATTTTCAGTCGCTTTATTGTTTACTTTCACTTCAATCCGATGAATATTGAATGCTTCTTTTAGTTCAATAGGTATGGTCTGCGATGACGATAACATTTTTAAATACTTCAAAATTTCTTGATGGTAGGTTTTGCGTATTTCCAAATCTAATATTGTTGTACTAGCAATCGAACTACTGACTTTTATATATTTTTCTATATCACCTAACTTTTTATATGAAAGGCCAAGTTGTAATTGAGTTTCGACCGCTAATTGTTTCCAACCTTCGTCTATGTATGTTTTTAATGCCTCCAGTAAAAAAGTAGCAGCAATTTGATCTTCCTCCATGTGGCTATGAAATTTAGCTAATTTTATTCCTATATATTTCGCTGATCTTAAACGGCCGATGTGTTTATACGTTCCCATTGCTAATTCAGAATATTCAATATATTGTTGGGTAAACACATTTTTTGAAGACAATGCTCTTTTAAGTTTATCAATTGGACTCCACTTTTCTGGGCATTGACTATATGAATCACCCATTCCAGCATTAAGATAAACTACCGTGTGAAGTTGCTCACTAGTTGGTGTATTCCCAGGCATAAGTCCACAAAATATTCCAAGTTTCTCAAGCTAATAACAAGTAATAGTGAATTTTGAAATTTATAATAATATACTCAATTATAATAACACTTATAAAATGTTTTATTTTTTACTTTATCCGTTGCGAGACTCCACAAACCAGCAGTATATAATGAACAGAGATCCAGATGTTGACTACTATCCATTTTGGAATATTCGAATTGACATACATCCAATACTTCCATTACACACAGAATAGCCCAGCATTCCAAAGAACCATAAGGAGTTTGTATATCCAAGATTCGAAATTCACTTAACGTATTATATATAAACGGTAAACAGCGATGGGCAATCTATAGGAATAAAAATACAATTATCAAACAGTAATTATTGAAAAAAAACGTTTTATTGCTTTTTACTGGACCTCCCATGGTTTATTAAGTAAAACCAAAAGAATACACTGTCTCGTGAATAAATAACTCCGAAGATCTAGAAGAGATGCTTTGTGGTCCGATATAAGTTTTCGAAGATGATGATGGTGATTACTTTTTAAAATTATTCCCGTCCAATAATTGAGAGGTGATCGAAAAGAATTAAGCCATAACGGTGTATCTGAAATGAATAACACTCTTCATTAACAAATATCAGTCCTCTGCAGTGGTCTGGGTGCAACCCGAAAGGTCCACACAACCAACTTTCCAGAGAAAAAAGTGAAAAAACAATTCGAATAGAACCCGTTTCCATTCTTTATAACAAATGGAATGAGTTACTTTATTTCAGTAAAAGAAAAAATTGTGCGTTAGAAGAATTCGAATATAACTCATAGATCCTTTTTTTCATTATTTACAACAAATTTCATTGTTATACACGAAAAAAGTATGTTTTCATTTATGTCATACGGTTGGTAATATTTGTTTAGTAAAAAAAAAAAATTTTGCGTTAAAAGTACTCATATATATAGAAAGGGTCCCTTTTTTTATTGTTTATAACAATTTAAAACTTATTATTTAAATATTACTATGATCAATAATCACTTGTTAGTAACAATGTTCAATTGCTATGAACACAATTCCATATTACTGACGATTATTATTGACTATTATATCGTCTTTAATGCTGTTTTCTCAATCCTGACACGAGTTTAAAATTCTTTCATTGCTGATTTTGTTTTTCAAAATTTTTTTTTTGATGAAACATTATCACCATATTTTCATACAAGTATTCTAATCATTTAATATTCATATTTTTTTAAAGATTTCGAAATTTTGTCTAAAAAATGGTATTATTTATAAATTGAGAAATTCAGGTCATTTTCCATTTTTGCTATTTTTTTGGTTCTGCAAAAAAAATGGCTAGACCGATTTTGCTGAAAATCTAATCAATTTTAAGTTACATAATTACGCGTCGAATGCAATTGGTCCCACATCGATATCATTTTTTGTTCTCGAGATAATCGAGGCGAAAAATAATTCCGAACGCACATATGCACATATGCACATACGCACATATGCACAGACACACACACGCACATGCGTACATACAGACGTTCACTGGAAAACGATCGTATTCGACTCTGGTGACCTTAAAACGTGGAGATATGTTAAAATTCGGGATTCGCAAAATCCGACCCATTACTATAACTGGGAAATTAAAAAATTCGAATTTAAGAAAACGACTCATAAATAGTTGCGCCAAAAATGTGCTTCTATTTTTGGGTGAAGTTCTTATTAGGTGACTGCTCTAAAAATGAATTAATTGTGCGGAGTTTCATTCAAATCGGGAATAAATTTATTCATACCGTATGATGGACGGCGCAATCGTAAAGGGGAGCCACGTGTAACGAATGTAGGTTCAATTTAAAACAAAAAAATTGGTGTGAGGCCATTCGGGGCGCCCACACGAGGAACTTCCCATTAGACGATTTCGATTACAAATTGGCTTTCCTGAAATTTATGAACATTATCGTACAATAGGTATCAGCAACAATGTTCATTTGTAAGTCAAACTTGTTTAAGCTTTACGCTACCTAGTGACAATCGACACCAAAAATTCAAAAACATTTTGGAAATTACCAGAAAATGTTTAAAAAATAATAACTATAAAATAGTCGTTATCGATTTCGTCATAAAAATAACTGTTTTGAAGACATTATGATATTTTATTTTTTTTATATGAATTCCACACGTTAAAGTGTCGAAATATGTTGAAATCCAGAAATTGTGAAATCAAACGATCATAATAATTTTCTTGTAGCAAATTAAAATAATCATAGTAAACTGTGCGAAATTATTAATAAAAAAGTTTTTTCAATTTTTAGTGTTACACCAACCGTTCGGTCATTCCACCTTTAACCTTGAATAACTTTGAAATGGTAGGTCCCCCGAAAAAAAACATAGGACATAAAATATTCGCAAGGAAATTCTCTACAAAAAAGTACTTTAGTTTTTTTGTTGTAGGACCAACCGTTCTCGAGATATAAGTTTGAAACCTTCGCCAGTTTTGTATTGTAATTCTTTTTTTACCCATAAAAAAAAAACTAATCGACCAATTTTATTTAAAATCTTTTCACGTGTTCTTTGTCACATTCTTTATCGAATGCAATTGATCCGAAGTGGATATCTTAATTAGTTTTTGAGAAACCGTGAACGAAAGAAATAACTTGCAACCCGAACGCACATACGTACATACGTACGTACGTACATACATACATCTTCTTAAAAACTATCGATATGAACTCCTCACATGTTAAAACATCGAGATCTGTCAAAATTCCAGCGTCGCCAAATCGGACCATTACAATAACTTCCTAATGGGAAGTTAATATGTAGACTAATAAGAAAGTTAAACTGGTAGAGCAGTCAGTGCATAACTGAAAAGTCTGGGTTTAACTTCTAGTCTTGATACAATATATTTTTCGCTTAAAATCGTCCTTGGCAAATCGTGAAGTCATCCATATATTTCAATAATTGGCAAGGTAGAAATATCTTCTAACTGGGGCCCCACCCGTATTCATGGATTCTCATTGTTTATTGTCACTTTTTCATCATTTATTACTAATTATAACTTTTCTATTGAGAATTCAATTTTAAAGAGTTCTTCCTCGCATAACAGAGCTAATTAGATACAGTACATACCACCAACTTCTGAATTAAGAATAAATTGTGTGAATAAAGCATCAAGCTCATCATATTGCACAAGCGCTTCATCATAAATTTCCAATGTTTCCAATAGAAAAGCAAGCTCTTCCTGAAAAAAAATTAAAAGAAATTACAAAAAAAGTGTCGTTTATCTAAATACACATATGTGCATACGCTAAAAAAAAATTCCCACAATTTTTCAAATATTTTTCTTTTTTTTTTTTTAGAGAAACAAAATGTATACTAATATCCTTAACTTAAGAATCTTATGAAGCAGCATTTAATTTGGGATATAGCATTGGAAAATCTTTATTATCAATCAACATGTAATAAAACTTGGCTTCATGTTGTCCAAAATACGCTTCTGCAATTCAATGTAAAGTAGTTTCATACTTAATCACTGATTAAATAACAGTACTAGAAGATGTGCTACATTACTGTTTGAAATTTTATATTTTTTACCAGTTTAATATTATCTATACATGTTAATAAATTCAGAGTATATGCAAATGGTTTCAATTGAATTGTTTCGAAATTTGAAAATTTAAATTAGTATTGCTGTCTGGCCATCAAACTTACACCGATTATGACATTGTTCTTCTAAGCTTTGGTTTTTTTCTCACCTAAGAATGAAACAAAAAGGGATCCCTCCTAAGTTCCATCTTGATTCAACGATTTGCTTTATCGTATACATACTTTCAAAACCTCGCTCAGTTTTGAATTATTTCATGAGTTGGTATCGAATTCAAATAGTTGAAAATTCGCTAAGATCATCATTACTGTATAGTTCAACAAGAGGATGAGGACTATGCCAGCTCTCAACAAGAAAAAAAATTGACAATGAGAGTACGTTTTGTACTAGATAATTTTATTCACGAAGCACTAAGAAACTAATTACAGCACTCATAATAGAAGTATAAAAATACTGAACGAACTTTAAGCATGTTGAATAATGATGCAAAAAAAAAAAAGAATTTGAATTTTAAAAATTAATTATCGCCAGAAGATAGTAAATATAATCTGATGCGCATGTCAAAATGGCAAAAATCGGTCAGTACGCATGCGTATCCTTATCCTTACTCTCCAATTGTGTGAAGGCCTTTAAAGTATCTTTTAATAGGATTCCATTCATTTTTATAGAAGAACTTTGGAAGAGTTTCAATGGGAAATAGACATTTTTACACGGAATTACTAGAAATAGCTGATGCTAATTGGTGTTTTAGTGGTAAAAGATGATTAGTAGATATTATTTAGACAATAATAGTGGCTGAAGTGTACCACAAAAAAAAATGAATAACACATCAACTGATGACAAATATCATGTTTCCCTGTCCTGAAAAAGGACATTGGATTTGAGTATCTTGCCTTATAGAGCATAACTCAGGGAATGGCTCTACTTCTTGCGACGGCGTTACTTGGGACGTGGTCTTCCCGCGCCTTGAAGAAAGCACGAGAATAAACGCATCTAACCCAAGGCCTTACAACATACCCCTACGAGTCCAACCTCAATTGACCGAAAGCACCTGGTTCTATATATTGTTTTTCACTTTGCAGCCTCAGGTGCAGGCTTGGATTTCGGTCGCCCATAGTACCAGTTTTATGCGCTTCGGTCAGTGGCCTATATCATGTGATGAATCGATAGTTCAAGAAGAAGTTAGTAGAAACTTTGAAACGGAAGCACAGTTAATTGTGACGATTGACACATTACTCAAAAAGTCCGCCTAAAGATATATACTAGTCTACAATACTTACCAAAGATGGAAACAAGATAATAGAAATGCTTTATCTCATTCTGAGAAAAGTAACCTCATAGTATATTTCTAGAGTTTAAGTGCATAATTAAGGCCATCTATTCTATGGAGTATTTTTTCAATAAAAATAATAATTGAAAAAAAATTCAAAAATATAAACCCAAAATATCTACTGTAATTACATGGAACGGAGTTATGAAATTTTTGAGTGACGCACTGGACTACGACTGTTTAGATCATAAAATACAAATTTATAATTTTTGACATTTGTGGGGCCTTTAGATGTGACGCACTTAAAGAACAAGTTACCGACATTAAAGATTTTTGTAGATAATGCCTAGTTTCTATAAATGACTCAAAGAATGGTCTATTTCGTCAATTCGTTATTGGTGATCGTTTCTATGAAAGTGTTAAAAAATGTATTACATTAAAACCTTCTGATTTTAGCATAGAAAAATTTTTTATACAATTTTGTAATGGCAAATGCCACCTAAATTCCTAGACTATAACTGAATATTTGGAATTGACTCGGCCACACCGTTGCACTAGACACTGTTTATGCGGAACTTCAGCTACATTTTTACTTAACTCCCGGGCAAACACAACAATACTTAAGCAACTGGAGGATAGAAATCCACCACTAAGAAAAATAAGATTCAAGAAACTTGCTAGGTATTCAAGCGGCGTTGCTAGGTATAACGGGAGCGTTGAGGACGACCCCAACCCTGGCCATAGGCTGCCTGCGGAGCATCCCTTCGCTGGAAATTATGGTGGAGGCGTTAGCGAAGAGGGCGGCCATCCGCTTGAGGAGTAATAGACAGTGGAGGAGCTTTCGAGCAGGGGATGCGGCGATTTTGGCCTCAGAGGACCCTACGGGACTCAGCGGCAAAAAGGTCGATCGCTGTCTTAGAAGGCTAAAGTTCTCACCTGGGTATGAAGTAATTTTTTTGGACAGACAGACCTGGATGGAGGAAGGCGAGGGATCGCTTACTCCTAAGGGGCCTGTCTGGTACGTGGATAGGGCGAAGACCAGAGGGGAGACGCCGAAGCCGGAATCTGGTGCGGTGAACCACGGGTAGGGAAATCTCACACCTTGGGCACGGACGCTCCCGTTTTCCAAGCAGAAGTATACGCAATCCTGATATGCGCAACACATATTATTAGAAAGGAATGCACTGGGCAGCATGTCTATATCTGATGACATGGGCTCAGTGACGATTAATGCTCACGGAGACTCATGGAGGACAAGTATTTGCACAGGAGGTTCACGAGCTACTAGGCGGAGACCTTAGGAATGAGGCACATCAGGGCGTTCATCAGGAAACCCACAACTCAAGTTAGCAGGGACCTAATTTAACTAGATAAAAGAAGGCTAAGAGTTGTCGTGGGCGCCATCACAGGGCACTGGCTAACTCAACGTCACATGAGGATGCTGGGACGCGTAAAGGAATCCGCGTGCCGGTGGTGTGGAATGGAAGAAGAGACACCTCTCCACATAATAAGGGACTGTTCGAGGCTAAGAGAACGAAGGCAGCGCCTACTAGAGAACCTTAAAACCGACCTGCCCATTCTTGCGATGGTCGGGACAGCCAGGCTTCTACAATTCTGCTAACTAATACTAGTTTAGTATTTTTATGAATCCGTCAGACAGTTAATATTAAGAATACTACAGATGAAAGTCGCCGTTTTACGACGATCTATTTTATAAGACACAATAGTCTCTAATCCACTACGTATTAACATTTATCGATCCTTTATTGTGTTTTTTATAAATCTATTATATATTAGATAAATAAATCATTCACATAACAAAAATTATAGTAAGATAAATTAATTGTTGCAAAACACAATGGATCCCTTAACAACTCATGTATTTTAGGACGTATAATTTATTAATTGAAATGTGCAATGAACATATGATTTACTCAAGCAAACGCTTCTCAGACAAATTCTAATTCCATAAGAAACCTAAGGCAAATTGTTTTAATTGCGAAAAAGTAAATTCTTGTCTAATGTATAAATATTATTCTCTAAAAAAAAATTCTATATTACAATACATGTATATAAATGAAAAATAACCTGGAGAAGGAAATATTCATAGAAGTTCCAGTCTTTTAAATTTCGACATTCCCTTTGCTCTCGGATGATCTCTTCAAATTGTAATAATAATTTATCATAGGCAGTTAACATGAAATGTTGAAGTCGTAATACTAACCCTCGCCATGACTCAACTGAACGAGACTCAGTTTTTGAAGTGTTAATAACAGATAGGCATCTGTAAGAAAAAAAATTCCAAGGAAAGTTATCTACAATTTTTAATTTGAATCAAAATCTATACTATAGTTACCTATCACCATGTTTTGCTCCAAAATCGTTACGGATTTTATCAAGAACAGTCGTTCGAGGTATAAGTTTGTTAGCTTTCCTTATATCATATGTTTCAACTACAATTATCATCCAATCATTTATATCATACTGTTGTAAAGCCTTGAACCAATTATCAATATCATCTTTGACTGATAATTTATATGCATCTAAATCCTGAAATGAATATAATTGTTGTTATAAATACAAACTATACAATACAATCACCTAAGATTTTATACTGTTATATACGAAATTGAATATTTTTTTAGAGCATTAAATATTCTCCAAAAAAAAAATGTATGGACTCACATCACACATTTTACAAAATCACATACAGTTGTATAGACTATTATATTTGCTTGCATTGGCTTGTATATATAATTATACAAGATTGTATATGCTTCCATATTGTGAAATGCAAAAATACATTATTGTCTATGACCGGCACTGGGACGTAATGGTTAACGCGTTAGTTTGATACGCCTTGGGTACCGACTTCGATTTCTGGCCGGGATAAAAACATTTATATGGTTTTCCTTGTGCCATTGTGAGTGGGAGGATCTATCTGAAAAACCGGTTGTATCGACAGAGGTATAGAAGGCAACAAGGCAAAATTTCAAGAGGCATCATCATTACCTATACAACCTGTTCACAGGACGAAGCTTTACTTTGAGCCTTGATGTGGATTACTTCCCATATCCCCTCTCTCTTTTTGTTTGTGTTTATTGCTTGAACCTTTTCACGGGTTGACGCAGGGCCCTAACAGGCGGAAAGATTATTTACGTGGAAGACCAGAAAAGCTGCAAGAGACAACAAGGATGCATCAAGACGACCCAAGAACTTGAATATTTCTGAACCCGCTGAGAACCGAAACGTTCAATAAGGTGTCCGGTTGACTTTGCGCGCACTGCTCTTTAGTGCTCTCGCTAACAGCCAGTCCCCGAATCTAGCCACATGTATGCGATCGCAATTGATTCGTCTCTACCGCGCATCGCGATATGATTCTTATCAGGTTAAAGGATGCGTTATATTTCTAACTCGACTGAACACTTGAGTCAGTCCAATAGGTAGTATACTTTGCATTCGTAATTGCTCAGTGAAGCTCACTCGACCAAAAATGCGCACCCTCGCGGAAACGGTCTGTTTTAACCTCTCGCAATGGAATAATAAGAATCTAGGAAAAGATACACATATTTCTGGATGGTTCATTGAAGGGCGTACTGTGCTGATCTCCAATAGTAGTAATCTGTCTAACCCCAAGAACTACAAACCTATTGCATGTCTAAATATTTCTATAAATTGTTCCCTAAGATCTTGAACGAGAGAATTTTGACTGCAATGGAACCTGTATGGAGACAGATATATGAACAACGTACCAGCAATGCGGTTTGACAGGTTGCAAGGAGACTTTGTTAGTAGACCAGTGCGTTACAATGGACGCATACTACTACAAGCATAACTTGTTAATGGCCTGGATGGATTACCAAAAGACGTTTGATACAACATCTCAAAATAACAAAAAACCTATAACCCAAAAACTATGAATTATTCTTTAATGGGACCAATTTCAATCGAATGAGCATAAAAAATTACGATATACGTATCTTTGCGATTTTGAAAATAACATCGAAATCGATGCTAAAAGAACTCTTTTTCGAAAAAATCCACAACCGATTTCAATCGAAAGAGTATAAAAATTTACGAGATACGCGTCTTCTTAATTTTTAAAATAATATTAACGACAGTAAACAGAATGACAATTTAGAAATTTCCAATTGCTGTTGATTAATTATTCATAAGCACAATAATTACTGAATGAATTACATCGTGACAAGATACTGAATAGTTCATGATTAGTCAAAATATCATTTTTCATTATCGTCATGTAGGTAAACATAGATACAATTCTTATCACAGTCACTGGTAAACAATTTTTGAGGAAAATCGTTTCTGTAATTGTGATATACGAATTATTCAGTGCTAGGATTTTGAACAAATATAACATATTTTAATTATTCAAAAAATTTCAACATTATTTTTCCGCATTTATCTTTAATACTGTAGTGAAAAGATATTTTTGTCTCTCATATTCGTTTAAATTTTGATTAATAGTGATTATTTCATAGGTGTATAAAATCGTGTGCTTGAAATAGAAATATTATTTTCTTTTATTCTAAAAATTGGGCAACACTCAGTAGAATAGAGCAACTTTGGCGGACCCTACTTCTATCCGCACCACAAATTGGGGATAAATTTGCGTCCGCCGGAGTCCACTTACGAAGAGTGGAGGTCCTTATAGCACAGCCTAGGGATAAAAATTACATGGTATGGGTTTATTAATTGCTTTTTAATTATTATTTTTATCGCGTTTATACAATTATTGTAATTATATTGTTGTTGCTATTGTTTTAATTATAAATTTTTATATCCTGTATTTAATTTTTGCGCATGCGCTTTACGCCTGCTACGAGCAGGCTTGGAGGGCCTAAAGCTACGCTAAGAAGCCATCAACGCGCCATCTAGCGTTTTCGAAAATATCAAGTCTTGCGGAGAATAAGCTGCGCGGTCCGTGTGCCATGACGCTTGAAAGCGAATGGTAGGGCGACGCGTGCTGGGGCCAACGGGTCTCAGAGCTGTGCGGCTCAGTGTTAGCAACCATACTATAATTATAGTAGACATACTATAATTACACTTATTTTACCCTACACTCTAATGTCTCTACTTTAATTCTTAGATCTACTCTAATTTTTAAGGTGCAAATTTAATTTAATAGAAACGAATATTCCTTTAAATGACTTTTAAAAATTTTTTTTTGCCGCGTGAAATTATTCGTTGCCAATAATGTAGCTTTTATTTTACCATTCAGCGCCCCTAATGTTAAAGAAATCATATACTATAACCAGATTTACAAGTGTCTTTAACCTTCTTTATTATTGAATATTTTATACCCCGGAAAAACTCGAACGTTTCGTTTACGATTTAATTATTTGCTTACTGGAAGTAATTTTGATAGTTAAAATAGAAAAAATATCAGATTTAAATTCAGATGAAAATACATCACCAAAAAAAAGTTCGTCTCAATACCAAAACAGCTCAAAAATTTCGTGACATTTGGTTAAATGAAGCAGATTTCAGACAATGGTTAGCTCGAGATCCAACAAATAAATATAGAGCTCAATGTACTGTATGTCAACTTTCGTTGGTTGCTCAGATAGTTTTTATTCGGAATCATGCATAATCTAAAGTACACATATTGAAAATGAAATCATCTTCTGGTCAAGACAAAATAGATTCTTTCATCAATTAACCTTTAAGTTCTACGAACTCCATCAAGGAATCTGTTAGAAAAGCTAAACTTAAACTTTGTGGTTTTCTCGTTAAACATAATCTTCCGTTTAGTGTGATGGATCACTTAACAGATTCATTGAAAACAAGTTTTCTTGATTCTCAAATACTATAAGACGTTCAATTAAAACTAACTAAAGCTACAGCGATTGTTAAACGTGTACTCGGCGAGTCACAAAAAGGAGGTTTATGCAAAAAATTAACAAATTACAAATTCAGTATTTTAATGGATGGATCGACAGATGTTTTTGCTGTAAAGACTATATGTGTAGTTGTCAGGTAATTTCACAAATTCCATTCATGTGATCAAAGTTATTTTCTGATTTTATTAAACCGATTCTTATTGCTATTTGGTTTGTTTTTAGATTTTATGATGATACAGAAGTAAATTTTGGCAGTTTCATCAGATATTTGAAAACAAATGCCAAAGCAGCTAATGCTGAACATTTATTCAACCTCGTTAAAACATCATTTGAAGAGTGTGGGATCCCATAGATTAAAGTAATCGGCCATGCATCTGACGGATGCCATACAATGATGGGTTGTCGCGATTCAGTTGTAACTCGATTTCAACAGTCATGTCCAGGACTTGAATGTATTTGTCATTCATTACATTTATGTGCAAGTAATGCATATAAAATATTACCGAGAACATGTGAAAATTTAGCTAGAAATGTTTACAATTTTTTGAAAGCAAGCTCGAAAAGACAATTTGAACTTTTAAAGGTTCAAAAGTTTTTAGATAGTGATGTTCATAAGATGCTGCATCCATCGCAGACTCAATAGATGTCATTGGGAACTATTGTTTCTCGCATGATTGAACAGTAAGAAGTTCTAAAACTCTATTTTATAGATAAAAAATTTGTTGAACGACTACACACAATAGATCACATCTTAAATGCACTCAATGATTTGTTAGTTTATGCATTTTTTTCATTATTGGAGTGGATCTTACCCAAATTCAAGAATTTTAATAAATTATTTCAATCGGACTAACCCATCATTGCACCAATGTATGAAAAAGTATGAAGATATGTGGTACATATCAGGAACTTCTTCATTGCTATATGGTGTGACGTTATTTTTTGATAACGTCCTCTTGTCAGCTCCACGATTGTTTTATTGAGTATTAGAGGCTGAAGATAGCCAATTTAGTATGTTCCAATAATGATGTATAAAGTAAATCTATTTACTTAAAGCTCATTTGAGCAGTTACCTTGACTTCTATAGTTCAATCATGCCTATTTTCACATGTTTTATTCACCATAATTATCTTCTGTACGCCAAAATATTTAATTGCTTAATTATACTATTGTTTCATTTAAATTTATAAATCATAAGAGTTATTTTCAATTGATTTTTGTATGTTTTTCTTATTAATCTTATACGTAGAGAGTAATTATTATTTATCAATTTATTAATTATTATTTAATGCAAACCAAGGCTAAGGGATTTATTTAGTAATAAAAATTAGTTTATAATCTTGAAACACAAAAAGAAGCAGAGTTAACATCAGCGAGTAAATTTGTCAACCATATGGACTATTGAGAGAAGAGTTGGGAGGCTGTAGTAGAGTAGAGGACCAAGAACAACGTGTCACCCTGCAGTTTTTCCATGCTGAGAGACGTCCTAGCCCTAAGGGATGTAGTCACGAGGCTGTTGCCAGTAAAATGGGACTCCAAGAAAAAGATGGAAGTGTGGAAGAGGTCGAATTTTGTTGAGTTTTGTCATTAAGTTTTGGAATTAGGATTAAGTTTTGGTGCACATCAGTTTTAAGTGACCCCTCCATATGAAAATCTGGGAGAAGTCACGTGAAAATAGTCACCAAT